GACAACAAAACGGAAAAAAAAAAAGGGATCAAATTGGATTAAACAATTACCTTTAGAAGTAAGGCATTGCAAGCCTTTTTCTGAATGGCTTCAGCTATTCTCTTTGGATTTGTGACCAATAAATCATCCCCTACAAGTTGGATATCGACTGAAGACTGAAGTGAAGACCATGAGCTCCAATCATCTTGGTCAAATGGATCTTCAACAGACACGATAGGGAAATCTTTGATGAACTCCTTATAGAGTTCGCCAAGGCTCTGAGCTGAGCGTACATGAGCTCCATCATTAGGTTGCTTCTTAAAGTTTAGGTCATATTTCCCATCCTTGGTGAAAAACTCAGAAGCAGCAACATCCATCCCAATTTTGATCTGTACAATTGTTTTGAGGCCACATTAGTAATATGCAGAAATTCAGTTATTACATAAAACATCAGAAGGTATAATTATAAGTCAGTCTACCTTTCCTGTGTAACCAGCCTTTTCAATTGCATCTATTAACAAAACCAATCCCTCTCTATTATCCTGAACATTAGGAGCAAAACCCCCTTCATCTCCAACATTGCAAGCATCTTGTCCATATTTAGCCTTGATAATACCCTTTAGTATATGATAAACTGCGCCCTCAAAAGATAAGAAAGATACCATCATCCATTACATAATCAAACAAACTATTGAACTGAAAAATACAAAAATCCTTACTACAACTTCACCATCACAAAATAATATTCAGAAGATAGGAAGCAACCCTCATATAATAGGAAATTGATAACTAGTTATTGAGCTAACCTTCGCTACCCATGCGTAGAGCCTCAGCAAATGAGGTAGCACCAACTGGAAGTATCATGAATTCTTGCATGGCCAAATTATTTCCAGCATGGCTGCCGCCATTTATCACATTAAAGGCTGGAACTGGCATGACAAGCTCCTTTGTTCTCGACAATTCCTGTATGTGCCTGTACAAGGGCATTCCTTTGGCCCCTGCACCTGCTCTGCAGACGCTCAAAGACACTCCAAGTATGGCATTAGCCCCCAATTTTGACTTGTTTGGAGTCCCATCAATTTCCAACATAATAGCATCAACTTCAGCTTGATTTCTTGGGAAACAGAACAATCAACAATGTCAGAATAATGAATCGCTCAACAATTTTGCACTGGAATTATCAATTTAAGCTACCTGACATCAACACCAACTAGCTTAGAAGCTAAAATTTCGTTGATGTTTTTGACGGCATTGAGAACGCCTTTTCCGCCATAAACACTCTTGTCTCCATCTCTGAGCTCCAACGCCTCATATACCCCGGTGGAGGCACCACTTGGAACCGCCGATCGGTACAGATCATCAGTGATCAGATCAACCTCGACCGTCGGATTGCCCCTGCTGTCAATGATCTGCCTGGCCTTAACAGACTTCACCTTACACTCCTTGGACGCAGTCACAGCTGGAGATGGAGCGGCAGCGGCAGAGCATCGGACAGAAGCAAGGCGGATATTTCGAGAAAAAAGGTGGGGGCCGGGAAATGCGGGTGTTGAAGGAGGGGGAGAAAGTCGCGGAAGGAATGGCTTGTGAAGGGGGTTGGTTTGGTTAGTTAATGCCATGGTTTTGGGTATTGAGAGGGAGAGAGAACGGAGACGTTTGGGAGGAGGGAAAGTGAGGGAAAGTTAGGGTTTAGATTTGCTTTATAAGGAAATGGGATATTATGGGAAAGTCCGCCAAGGTGCGATGAAAACGAGCAATTGCTCTGGTCTGGTGGGTTTTTCCAGTCATCGATTTTTCTTTTTGTTTGAAAGTAGTTTGGTGGCAGCGACAGGGAAGGGACACGTTGGAAGGGGAAGTTGAGACTGCCCTGTAAGATGGTAGGAGAGAAAAGAGGTTAGTTACGTAGTTCGGTGGCAGTCACAAGGTTTTTTTTTTTTCAGTTTCCACTTTTTTTCTTTTTTCTTTTTTTCTCTGGCGTGATCTTCCACCCACACACACTTCTAACTCTAGTTTCTCCTTTAAAAATAATGAGAACAGATTCTCACATTGACAAATTGATTATTTCAAGTGTTCACTTATAGAATCGACACTTACTTATTACTTATTAGCGTTAGCTTCTATTTCTTAAGTGATTTTACTTATATTTTAGAATTGCTTTTTTTGTTTTGTCAATTAATTTATTTGTTCAAATGAAAAGAATTTAATTCCTCTAAAATAAAATATCAAGTTTTAGTTTTTTGAATAAAAAATCAAGTGCTGTGAGAACTTTCTTTTTATGAATGATTGATAAAACTCAATTCTACATTTGTTGAGATTTAATGTGATTTTTAAATACTAAAAGATTAATAAAAAAATTTGCTTGTTTTTATTAGAAAGAAATTTTTACTAATTCATTGAATTTGATAAGGTTAAAACTTTATCATGGTCTTTCTATTTTAGTGATTTTTATTTTTTTTTAAGTTTTTCTACTTAAAAGAGCTTCTTTTTTGTCTTTAAAATTTATTATTTTGCACACTAACTTATTAGAGGACAAAACTTCCAAACTAAAGAGACTATAAAACAGCATTTCGGATGGTTTACAATTATATCATCTAACCTATAAAGTGTGTAAAATAATAACAAAGAGATTAAAAAAGACCAAATGATAAATTTTAAGGACCAATAAGAAATTTTCTTGAATAAATAGACTAAAATAGACTTTTTTATTAAAATAAAAGGACAAAATAAAATTTTAACTATTTAATAATATTATTTAAAAATATTTTTCTTACCATTCAAACTGCATTAAAATGCAACTATTATGTTAAAATGAATTCTGATATTGGAAGAAGACCCTCTCATTCAATGCCTGGGATTAACATAACCAACTCAACCATTGATTCGATGTAACATCATAATAGCCCTGTGGCACTTTCTCTGTTAAGCAGTTTACCTGGCGAGCTTAATTTGCATTTCCAGTTCTCCACACAGCCCAAAAATGAAAAGAAAAAGAAAATCACACCTCTAAAATTCAGTTTGGCTTTCCCTTTGCTTTAATTATCCAATCAGTTACAATTTCTTCGCCAATTTTTCCTCAATATAAATCTCTCCGGTAACAATTAACAACGGGAAATAACCAAAATTCCCTAATGTCGTCTCCTCCGTAATAAAATCCCGACGCCCTGCCTGCCAAAACCCATCCCCATTTGGCAAAGGGCACCACCATGGCTCGAGTCAGCAACACCCTCTTCATCATCGTCAACTTTATCACCCTTATTCTCGGCCTTGCCGCCGTCATCTACTCCGTATTCATCAGGCTCCACGGCGGCACAACCTGCCAGAAAATCTTGCAGGAACCGCTGCTGGTAATTGGCGTTTTTGCATCCGTTGTGTCGTATCTCGGCTTAATGGGCCCTTGCTGCAGGGTCAACGCCGCCATGATGGCTTACCTCGTGTTCGTAGCAGTGTTGATTTTGGGGATCATCGCATTCACGATCTTCGGGCTGTTGGTGACGAAGGCTTCCGCGGCTAACAATGTGCAGTGGGGAGGGTTCCGAGAGCACAGGATTAAGAATTATTCCGGTTGGCTGCGACGGCAAGTTCTGAATTATAGACACTGGGCGGAAATTGGCGGTTGCTTGGCAGATTTCCATATTTGTAATGGTTACCGTTTCAATGCTGCCGATTCTTGGAAGCCCTCCAGTCATTTTTCTCGACTGCAGGTAAGCCGTTTAAATTTGTGTAGCGTTTTTGATAGTAGCTATCCGCTCTT